GACAGTTTGTAATATTTTTACTGTATCTGACCATTTTTTTTTATACAGTTCGATGACTAAACGATCTAATATTTTGTTATTTTGTTTATTTTTTGTAGAGATGATCTTTACATAGTGATTAATGATTAAAGAGAAATTGTAGCAGTGGTCTCTCAACTTTAATCAAATTGGAGCAATGAACCCTCAACTAAAAATCCATTACCGTTGGTCTCTCAATTCATTAAAACACATGTAGCTATGGTTTTTTTCGTCAACTCCGTCACAATTTTGTCAAAATGAGTTATGTTGGAAAAACCATTGCTACAATTGGGTTAAAGTTGAGGGATCATTGCTCCAATTGGGTTAAAATTGAGGTTAAAGTTGAGGGACCATTGATACAATTTCTTATTTGATTTTCCATGTTTTGCCCCTTAATTCAACCACGTGCATGACACGTGACTCATTTTGACGGAAATTCTAACAAAGTTGACAAAAAGAATCATAGATGCACGTTTTAAAGAGTTGAGGGACCAATGGTAATGAATTTTTAGTTAAGGGATTATTGTTCCAATTGGGTTAAAATTAAGGAATGATTGCTACAATTTACTCTAATATAAATGGGTCCAATCATAAGCATCAGTAAATCAATAACCAAGCATCTGAAGGAGTAACTCCTCATTCCTTTGATTAATATCAATTGAATCGTCTAGAAAGGAAAAAATAAACATAATAAGGAATCCGTCCTTCAATGGATCAAATAATAGAGATGAGAGATGAATTGGAGCTATTGTTCCGTCATCGAGATGGCATATAAAGAATTGGTGGATTCATCAGCTACCACTGACATAATTTGAATGAGATGATACATGAAAACTGGAAAGTGGTAATCGTTGTGATAAAAACTTTTGTTGGTATTATTGCATACCCAACAGGCAAGGCGCATAACAATAATGGGATTCCCCCAATCAAACTCATAGTCATATTGGCCAACAAAGAAAAAAAAAAAAGGCTTCCACTGCGACTGGAGGGAATTGATAATGTACTGGTAAAGCTATTATAAAGTAAACAGGACTCCTGATCAGTGATCAGGTTTCTCGTCCAATTTTCTGGAATACGCATCCTCCTGACTGCATCTTGCTCTTGCATCCAATTTTTGTATGGGTTTTTAGAGAGAGAGAAAGTGGAGAGAGAGTGATCAGGCTCCCATAGAAATATATATTTTTACTAATGGGAATGATTGTGGGGTTATATATTGAATATATAATCAACTTCAAAGTGTTCTGTTCAAATTTCAGTGGAAGTAGATATGTTGAATATTTAACTTCAGAATTAGCCACTTAATATTATTGTTTAGTAGTATTTCTCTTCATTTGTAAGTGAGAGGCTTTAAATTCAATTCTTCGAAGGCGAATTTGAACCATATTATCATGGCTAACTCAAATATCAGATTTAACCTACTTCCTCACTCCAACTCTCATCCTTTTAATACAGATAATATCATCTGTCCAATATAAAAACCTTTAGAGTCGCAGATGTTTGAAACCCTCACGGATAAGAGTGAGGAATTTGACCCAACCGCTGACTGGCCTTGCTTTCCTTGTGTAACGATTCTTCATTTGTTACTTTCCAAAACGTCAAAGCCCAGGGTTTTTTTTTAGTGTGGGTGCTTTGTCAATGAGTAAGTGCTTCATATCACGGTTATCACATTCATCTAGTGCTACAATTTTATGGTTCTAATAATTTGGCAAACAAAGCGTGCAAGTTAAGGATGTAAGGAAAAGTAAGGAAGCATTATTATTATTATTATTATTATTATTATTATTATTACATTTTGCAAAGTCATGTGCAAGTCACATTGTAAAATAATATGATAATTTTATCAACATGTTAAACATGCAGATTTATCAACATGTTTTTTCTCCTTCGTCACTCTGGTATTACAAGAAAAATAGTATGATAATTTTTTCTTTTCTTCAAGGACTATATATAATTGAATATTGTTATTCATGTATCTATCTCCTGTAAGAATATCTGTGTAACAATGAATTAAAGAATGATTGGAACAAATACAGAACTCACATAATTTTTAGAAGATATTAGCTATATATGCGTGTGTGTGTGTGTGTGTGTGTATTGTCTGATGGTTTTCCTTGTCCTGCAGCGAACAATTTTAACATTTTGGTTTGTTATATTGTCTAGCTATTGCGTTCGCTAGCTTAGAGCTTCTTCTATCTGGCTGTGTTGACTGTTCTCTCTGCTTGGGCACGATCCTTAAGATTTCTAATCAATTGTTTTGCTGATAAAAAGATAATCTTTATTGATAAGCAAATTCGTAAATTAAGTTTCTTCCTGAAATTCGAATATACTCCATTTTTAGATGAATTATATAAGAAATAGTTGATTTCATAGTTTCACTATTCAAATTTTCCTTTTTAGATTTTTTTTTTTTGTTTTTTTTTTTTTTTTGTTTTACTTATAAAGCTTTAAATCTCAAAAAAAATTATGTTTAAAGCTTAACACATGGCAAGCTATGAATGGTGTGGCACTGCCACTCAACAATCAACATAGTCCATGGCAAATTAAGAGCATCTTTAAATGAGACGTCAAATTCAAAACATCAAATTTAAATTTGATGGCTGACTTGGTATTTGACATATTGTCAATATTTTCCTTTCACCTAGTATGCCAAACTTTATTGTTTCATTTATGTTTTTTTTTAAACAAAAATAATAAAAGTGGGGTTGTTGTTGGTTTAAAAATAATAAAATAATACTCAAATATGCTGGCATTTAAGGTAAGGCAAGCAGAATGCCTTTGGAAATAGAAAAAATCAAATTTGAAGGCAGCTTCAAATTTGACATCTCTTTGTCCATGTCAGCTTAGCCTTATTTTCCATGTTATCTTTGACATCTTGGTTAGAGTAAATAGTACATCATTTGTTACTATTATATGTCTATGTGGCATTTTTGACATCTCTTTTAGAGATGGTCTAAGCCTTACACAAGTTTTACTGAAGACGCCTTTATATAGTGGGGTGCGGCTATCCTGTTAATTTACATAAATATTTTTAATTTAATAGGAAAAATCAATTATCTAATCAATTGAGAAATGAATAACATACGTAATTGAGCAATCAATAGCCAAAAAGTTACATAAATCAATAAATTAGTGGATAGATGCAAATGTCCTGCGATAATAAGAAAGATTTTAATATAAGTTAGATGCGTGGTTATACCATCATTGTGACATGTGAACAAATTAAAGAAAACATTAAGCCCTAGCTTCCCAAACTGATCATTATCATTTTCAATTCACCATTCTCCAACAATCTGCATTTAACACGCCACACACCAGTCCTCCATGGTCAAAAGGTCACGAAAGGAATACAAAACAGAAAAAAATAAATAAAATAAAAAACAAAAAGATAATTTTTATATAATTTATTTTCTAAACAATTCCTTAAACGCAATACCTTATTGGTTTAAAATAAAAAATTGTAAATTCCCCATTCCCATATGCAAAATATGCTAAAAAAATCTTTTGTTTTGTCAAACGATAAATTTTGTTTTATTAGATATTAGATTAGTCATCAACAGAGTTCGAACCAGCGTCATCATGTAAGAACTCAACACATTTCCATCATTATGGTAAATGATCACTTGCCAATTTATAGATTTGACTCTCTTATTTTTGTGGGGTTTGAAGTCCTTAACTTGGGGAAGGTAGTGGAATAAAACTGGCAGGGTGGGAAATGTGACAAAGTTCATCTGCCTTATAAATGGAGGCCATTAAGCCAGGCACATTCATTTATCTTCACTGTAACCAGCATGGATACAAAAAATTAAACACCAATAAAATAAAGGGGCTTTTCAATCTAAGTCCAAAAACATAGGTAGTTTTTTAACTAAGTCCAGTTATCCAATTACATATTTTTATACCAATTTTGCCTTTTTAGATAAAAATATTTAAATTCTTTAATTTTTGTATCATTTATTCAGTTTTTAATTTTGAATATTTAAATACTAACTAAAATATTATCTAGTAACCACCTAATGATGTTTACCTACAAAACCGATATAATTTAGTAACTACCAATTGTATAGGAAGAAAAATACTTTATACCAACAAAACATATGTAATCTACTGCAAAACAAAAATAAACTACCTATTGTATAGGAAGAAAAATGCTTTATACCTACAAAATAGATATAATCTACCAACAAAATAAAAATAAACTACCTATTGTATAGGAAGAAAAATGCTGAACCTCCATGGCAGAACATTAGAATAGAAATATGATATAATATACCTCCATTAAAGGAACAAATACTAAACAAAAAAAAGGAACAAATACTAAGTTTCAGTTTACCTTTATGATACGCACAAAAATATAATAGAGCAAATATAAATGCATGATACTGTATTATTGCTTGCAATTGATATTGTATTGCCGAACGAATATGTAAAAAAATTGTGAAAGCTATGTAAAAACTGAAATTGTCATGAAGGAATTTGGAGGGAGGAACACAAAATATCACCCATGAAAGATGAGAGAAGAGGATGATCGATTCCATGATCTAACAAAGGGAATTGTTTAGAAGAAGGAAAAAAAAGGAGGGATAAAACAGATTGGGGGTTGAGATTTTATTGCTATAACTAATCCTACAATTAAGGGATTAGTTAAACCACAAATAATCATATAATTAAGAAATTTTAAATATTTCCTACAATTTATAAGTCTAAGGGATAAATATGGTACAAATTACAAATAAGCTTACGTGGAATATCAATTATTGGACCTATTTCAATGCAGTGGACTAATTATAGTAATGGCTCACAAAATTGGATCTATATCAAATTATCCCTAAAATATAAAATACGAAATTAAACATTACGCATAGAAGGGGGTATTTTTGGTAAACCAAAGCAGGTGTCAAAATTGTAAAATTGGGTTCGAAACGTGAGCGTTTCTAGAACCCACCAGTTTAAAAGCATCGGGCTCTGGCAATCTCTCTTGCAAGTCCAAAGAATTTCAACACCCATCTCTCAACATCAAGACAGAGAAGAGCCTCTCTGTCTCTCTGTCTCTCTCTAAAAATTTCCTCTTTTGGAGAGCCGGGGAGGCATTGCAATATCTCTTTCCAATACCCCATTTAGAAACCCAAGCAATCCTCCCTCTCCTTCCAAACATTTTAAGAATTTTAGAGCGAGGGAGAGAGAGAGAAGCGAGAGAAAGAGCTAGAGAGAGATGGGTGGGAAGAAATTTGCAGTGCTTCTGTGCGCAGAGGACACGGAGTTTGTGAAGAAGACGTACGGGGGGTATTTTGGGGTGTTTCTGAGAATGCTGGCGGAGGAGGGGGAGACGTGGGACTTGTACCGGGTGGCGCGCGGCGAGTTTCCGGAGGACGATGAGATTGAAAACTACGATGGGTTTGTGATATCCGGAAGCAGCAGGGATGCCCACGGCAATGATGCCTGGATCTGCAGGCTTCTCACCCTCCTCCAGAAATTGGATTCCATCAAGAAAAAGGTTCTCGGCATTTGCTTCGGTCATCAGGTAATCTTCCTCCTCCCAACAATATTTTCTTCATTCTTTCTTTGTCTCTGTCAATTTTTTATTTTGTTTTTTTGGAAAATTGGTTTTTTTTTTTCAAGAAAGGATGGTCATTTCACATATTATAATATTAGAAAGAACAAAAGTTGGGGAATAGACTGTTTCGTGCTGGGCTCTGGGATTTTCCGTTACTTCAGATTAAGGGTGTAATGGTCTTTCAATGGGACGAGATTAATTGTGATTGGTAAGTTAAGTAATTGTTGTGCGGCTACTTAGTATTACGGTCTAGTAGTATTCTTTTTCAATTGTAAGTAAAAGATTTTAGGTTTGATTCTCGCCAAAAACGAATTTGAACCACATTATTGCGAGTCTATTATGAAGTTAAACCGACCTCCTCTTCTTGTATTTTGAGAAGTTTGGTGTGTAATCCATCAGACGGAAGCTTTGCTGTCAGTGGTCCTGTAACCGTACGATCGTGACTTTTAGCTTCCGCGATTAACATTCATGTCGTTTACTATTTAGTCGTCTTGTGAGCTGATACCATGTGGTCCCACAAAATAATGAGTTTTAGAGAGATGACGTTAGCATGTTAAATAGTTGTTAAGGTAGGAGAAGTTGGTGAAAATCAAATCCGTTCTAAAATATATAAACATAATTACTTTCTATCCCTGTTGTTATCTGCTAAGAACATACTTGTTTAAGTAAGAAAAACTAATATATGGGGTATGTGAGGTTCTAAGGTCGACAGTTTTAGTTGTAAAACACTAATATACACGTCACTTGTACGAATAGAATGAAATATAAAAAGTTTGTGTTATCGTGTGTGACGCTGTAACAGTTTCTTAGATATTTAGTTTGTAACGTTCATATCGAATCAATTTCAACTTTCGTGATCATTTTTGTGGGAATTAATACTATAACCATGACTTATCACATATTACATGATTTGTTAACTTAATTTAGCCTAATACCGACAACGGTAAGGAAGCATGTTTGCATCATCACTTCACACTTGAAGTGACATTCCAACAAGGAAGCGATTTTGCTCACCACCACCATAAATCCTGATGTATGCTTATATCATACACCTAATTATCTATCATGTGTCTTTTCACTTAATTTTGGTTAATTTTTTTCAAAATTGATAAAGTAACATTTAATGTGAATGTTAACTAGAGTTAATTAAAGGAACACGTAACAAACAATTAAGTGTATGATGAGTATACACCATAATTATTATGATAGGCAAAAATGCTCTCTTCCAGCAATTTTGCTCACATCCAGTGGGACCTACCAGTGATTTGGAGCTAAGCACAGGTCTAAGGGATTCCGCTCTTCTTCTCTCTTTGTCGCACCAAGTCAAAATTTGGGCATTGATTAAAGGTTCCACTATATATAGTCTCCTTCTGTTGAAGATTCCTCAAATCAGCTTATTTGAGGGATCTTTTGTAAAGTCCACTGTACATTGTATTTTTAACAACTTAATTGTTTATTTTTTAGGTTTTTCATCAAAGATATATGTACTGAAAGTCATCTAAATTCGAAACTATAACCATTGAATTAAATAGTGGTTATAATAGTGTTTACTCGATGGATCGCTCAACGGACGAGAACTTATATATATATATGTAATATGTTTGTGTGTGTTGACAAAAATATAAAGAAAACTCGAGTTTTAATCAAAATGACAAAAAGTGTTGTAAGTGAATAGTACCATGAGTGATTTTTTAGAGTAAAAATGTCATTTTCGTTAAAAGTGAACAATATCAAAAGTGTTTCATTAAAACTCCCAAAAATATATGAGTAGTATAGTATATCCATAAGGACACTAAATGTTGCAAGATTAGATGTATGCCACTATGCCTACTTAGTCTTATCAGTTTAATTACATTCTTGGAGAACCAACGTTGGTTCTCATTTTGTTATCACTAACTTCTGAGACTTGACTTGGTTTTACTTAATATATTCGTCATCAAACGGTCAGATGGCCCCAAAAAAGCGAATATCATATCCGATCATATTGGTTTTTGTTTTGCTTAAATGCTTTAATTTGTTAGTGATTATCATGACATCATTGTAGTTGTGTTGCGCTTTGCATGTTTCAAAGGGAGATTATTCCCTATACATTTGTGTGTGTGTGTGTGTGTGTGTGTGAGGTAGGTGGCTATACTATTCTGGGGTATGATTTGATTGGATTAGGATAAAGGATAGACACGTGGAATTGATTCAAAAGATGATGGCAGAATTAAATATAATATCTATGAAAGTTGGCAGAATTAAATATAATATCTATGTAAGTTTGCATGACATGCTCTTGAAATGCTTTTTAGGCTCGTGGGTGTTTGTTGTGTGCTTTTCCCGTTTTGTAACTTGTCGGTGGCTAACCTCGATGGAAAACGTGGTTTGCTTTTGGCATTTGGTTTTTGGCTTTTGGCTTTTGGCTTTTGGCTTTTGGTGTGCAATTGCTTTGGCTTTAGGGTGTTTTGGGGTGCTTGTTGCATGGTTTCGCATTGCCCCCCATTCTTATAAATGAGCGTGAGATAAAGGTGTCCAACACCACATTTACACGTTAGAAATAAACTAATTCCATGCAGCTTTGCCTTTATTTGGAGCGACTCAGATTCTCCTCGTGGAGGAATCACTTCACCATCCGATATATGGGATGTCTGACCGACGATATCCTCTTCTGTCCATTGCCGCTGCCTTATTTCAGACATGCGTTATAAATGATTTATACGGAATTCGTATTATTCTTATTTTGATTATGAATTAGTAAACGAGTCTATGATGAAATATTGTGATATATGTAGAATCCACTTAATGTGACAAAACATTAGGATTAGTCAATTCTATTAATTATTTAATTAGTTAGTTATATTTCTTTTTAGGTTACATGAAAATGGTTGAGCTGTCAACTCCTTATCCCACCCTTTAAAGTAATGCCTCATTTCTTGTTATGTCCTCCACAATGAGCTGTCTTTATCTACTCTCTATACATGTGTGATTGTGATGAATGAATGATCGAGAGTTGTTTATATATGATTTTGATTAGATATTGAGCCGTGCGCTGGGAGGAAAATCTGGTAGAGCCATCACAGGCTGGGATATCGGAATCCGAACCGTCCACTTGTCACCATCATCCAAGGCCTTCTCCTCTCTCAACGTTCCAGCTCTTCTCTCCATATATGAAATCCACCAAGATGAGGTGTGTATACTTCTCCGTCGTCGTCGAATATAAATTTGAATTTCCTGCTGAGTACTTCAGTATTTACGGTTTACCATGCATGAAACTCAAATTTAATAAATAAATTCATGTTTATTCTCATTTGAAAAAAAAATAAAAAAATAAATAGGTGTGGGAACTTCCTCCCAAGGCAGAGTTGATTGCATGGTCGGATAAGACGGGTGTGGAGATGTTTAAGTATGGAGATCACATGATGGGCATCCAAGGCCACCCTGAGTACACCAAAGATATTCTTCTCAATCTTATCGATCGCGTTGCCAAACTCGAATACATCTTGGTAAATATATATATCTATAAAAAAAGATTTCCAAGGATAACGATTTTGGCACGTAGAAATTCTATAAATATTCAGTTTGGAAGGCCAAACGCTAAACTGGGAGTACCAAAATCGTTATCCTTTCGAATGTTCAGCTAGTTAACAAGTCATGCAACAGTTTAATTTGATTACACGATTTGTTCTTGTGGATTTGGTTTCAGGTCTCGGAAGCTGAAGAATTGAAGGCCAAGGTGGAGGCATGTCAACCAGACAGAGAGACATGGAAGAGGGTTTGCAGAAGCTTTCTCAAGGGGGGATTATGATGATAAATGACTAATTATTTATGAGAGAGAAAAGAAATTAAGTGTAGAAATGTTGTGTTTTGAGGAGAGGCTCAAAAAGGGTGGTTAGTTTTCACAGTTTGATAGGTTGGCAACTTAAGAATTAAGATGTTAATTTAAGAATTAAGATGTTATCAAGTTTAATTTGAAGGAAAATTTGCAAAGTTGCTTAATTTTGCTAATAAAATCATTGCATTTTCTAATCATCTCACTGAAGTAGTACAATATAATTGACAAATGGGCGACTGAATTTTCAGAGTAACAAATAATCCTAGAACGGTTCAGATGGGCGACATCCCAGGTATAGAAATATTATGGTCCAAACCATATTAAGCTTATGAAGTTTTGATTTCCGTTAGAACAGTATTCATATTGACTCTACTAAATGCAATCTTTCTACTAGGGATAGAATTTTGACTTTTGCTCCGTCAATTCCTGTCACTTGCGTACTCTGCTCTATTGCTACGAGTTCCATTGCCACCTCTTCTTTGAGTGTCCTTTTACCAATGGTATTTGGTCTTCAGTGCTATTCAATTGCGGTGTCCCTTGGCTAAGGCTCCCTTGGCCTCTTTTGTCATGCGGGCTACTAGCCGTTACAAGGGAAAATCTCTATCGTTGATAGTTTTAAAGTGAAGTTTTGCTGCTACAATGTATTATGTTTGGAGAGAGTGGAACAACCGTAAATTCAGTAACTCATGTCAACCCGTTGCGGTGGTTCTCAACTCAATTAAGTCCACCATTAGATTTCAATTGAGTTCTTTGAAAATCACCTATTTTGCTGCTAATGACTCTACTTTACGGGAATGGAATATAACTATGAATAGTTAGTGCTTATTTTTGTTGCTTTGATGCAGTGTTGTTGGTTTTGCTGTCTGTTTTCCTTGTAACTGCAGCTCTTTGTTGCGTGTTTGTTTTTTCAACTACTCTTTGCTGCTAGTATTCTCTTTTTCTCATCAATATATTTTTTATATCAAAAAAAAAAAGAAAAAAACATGTAGAGATTGTTTATATTATTATTTTTTTATATGGCACCTGATTGAAAATGAATGCTGCTAGTATTCTATTTTTCTCATCGATATATTTTATATATCAAAAAACAAAAAGAAAAAAACATGTAGAGATTGTTTATTATTATTTTTTTATATGGCACCTGATTGAAAATGAATGTGCAATCCATAGGTACCCGACTGTATCAAATAGATCCAAATGAGCCGCAACCACTAATAAAATTACAAAAATCTGAACAACTCGTTTATGAAAAACAAAGTCGAGTTCGAATCTACCAAAAAAGGACCCGATCGACCCGCGCCTATCCCTACTTTAAATTGTGATATTAAAATATGAGTTGAAAATCCCTTTTAAGTGCCTTTCCTTGTGAACTCAAACAAAAAAAAAAGTGCCTTTTTCTTGTTGTTTAAGAGTTAGAACGCTTTGTTTTCTAGTTGTCTATATCGTAGGTCTTAGAAGTAAAGTTTTTAGAATTTTCAAATCTTTTCACGCATTAGGAGATAACGAATAATGGCAAATCCATTCACGAACCCAGATGGTCCCAGATCCAACCAAAAGTTTGAATAAGTGCCTGTGAGGCCCTCAAAGGACCATCCAACGATCTAGACAGTTTGAAGGAGTGCGTATGCGCAAATACGGTGCAACATAAGCTTTGTATGAAGAAGAAAGATCTAATTTTAGGCAAAGAGCTACACAGAGAAAACCACTTACTCTACTGTTCTTGAACCTTGGTTTCAGCAAAGAAGACGGAAGAAGAAACTCTCCCCATTTTTCACGAGACCGACTCTCCATCTTTTTCTTTTTTTAATTGTTGTCCAATCATTTTGTTCCACCTGGCATTTTAATCAATAAATGGATAGTGTATTACTCAGTCGAGGAGAGATTTTTCAGATGGATAGTGTATCACTCAGTCGAGGAGAGATTTTTCAGTGACCAAAACACGGAATGATACATTACGTGTCAGTATACAAATGATTGAATATCTATGTTAAAAAGTTAATAACTTAATAAATAAAATTTTTCACCCCATGTACGAAAACACATGATGTACCAACTATATTCCGATCACAATAAAATAGGCCATAGAGACACCAATCTGTGTGCGGTCTTAACCCTAAAGTGACTGTATCTCACACCCCTATTAGTCTACGAGCTTATAGGGTTTGTCCAACCCTATTGTAACTTAAACTCTGCATTTGGGTTGTATACATAGGCAGCGTAAACAGCAACTCTACCGCTATAGATCTACAAAGTCTTGGTTGTTTGATGACTACCTTACACTTAAACAAGAGAGACATGATTAAACCCAAGGCCAGAAGATAATTTATGTCCCAGTCCACCTCCCACATCAGCTCCAGTAAAGAAAGGACCAGAACAGAAGATATAAGGCTCAAAACACACTAACCAGCATAAGCTCCAAAGATCATTATTTTACCACCATGAATACTCAAAACAAGAACCAAGTTCAAATAAAAGGCACTACTTAATGCAGCATGTTTCCCCATGCATACAAAGATTTATATAAACCTTTCCCCCACAATAGATCACTAATTTCACCATCATGACAGGCACAGGAATGAATAAAACGTTCAGACTTTAAAGCAGGTAATAATTCATTGTATGGCAGAGGAAGTCGTGCTTAGGCATTCAACACGCCGGAGTTCCTCTTGCACTCGGATAGCATATCCATGTAGAACTGGCACTTGCTGATATCACTTCCAAAGTGGTTGACGCACTGCAATGTCAACAAATAGACCGGACTTAGTTCTCAAACAATTTCAAATTTCCCATTTCATTTCATTTAATAAGGATCAGTTAAATTTATTACGAGAGAATTGTTTGAAACATGAACATTTTGATGGTCAGGTAAACCAAAATGAAAACCATTAAAAGATATTCATGTCTCAATTAGCCAGAAAACTCTTCCGCAGATGCATGAGGAAACCTCATTACACAGATCTCAAGATACATATCATCATATTGTTAATGCACATACAACAACACCAACAACACAGCCTTGTCCCACTAAGCAGGGTCGGCCGTATGAATCCTAGAAAAGATGAGTTACGATCACAATTACAAACTAAAAGGGATCTTAGGAATGGGTATAAAACAATTTTTAGCAAGAAACTACCGAACTTCACAACAAAGAAATGCCTTATGTATGGGCAAGAGAAGGTCAAAAAATTAAAAACTAGAATGGTATATTGCTATTTCTTCCCCTTACTCATCCACAAGTATAACAAAGAAACACAATAGCATTTTATTTGAGACACTAAATTTTCAGGAAAATAAAAGGAAAATGTTGTAGAGTTTTGCATACATCTTGGAATGCCTTAGAGTGATTACTGCATGCATCTGAGCCACCCATGCTGCTAACCATGGGGACTGGAGCAGCAGCAGTGGCCTCAGAGACTACAGCTTCATGTTGAATAGTGCGAGGACCCATCACAGCATCCACAGCTCTGTGTGCCACGGCACTTCCAGTACCAAAAGCCATACCTGCAACAGAAGGGTAAAATCAGACATACAACACCAATTGTAATGATAGTGCATGCACGGTTATAAGCAACCAGACAAACATATTACCCTGGGCTATGGTTGATCCAATTCCCGAAAGCATAGATCCACCACTTCCAGGCTGAGCTGGAGCTGGAGGAGGAGCTTGGCGAACTGCATTGTCACACAGATAATTCAATTAGAGGTGAAAGGACAATATTATATTAACAAACAAAATAAACATGACAGCAATAAATGCTAACGTAGCAATAGTGCTAACTTATCAAAAAAGTTTAGAATAGTTACCAGGCTGAGGCGGGTTGCGTGCAGGTGCATGACGAGGAGCTGGGCGAGCAGATCGACCTGTAAAAGGATTTTAAAGCACATTAAACAAAACATATACAACCCATAATAGAAGAAAATGAATACACATATAAATTCATCATGGCATGAAGACATCCAACCCAAACTCAAGCTCCCTCCAAAAGCTTACTACGACAAAAATAATACAGTGTTTACCCCAGACACGGCGACATACAAGCCCTAAAGTTATGGAAATTGTAAAAACATGTAAAGCGCAGCGCACTATAAACTGCTTATGTCTCTTGATGTACTAATTAGCCTAATCAAACAATAAACCTAATTCGGAAAATAAAATGAAAACGATTAGAAAAAAAAAATCTTCATAAAGTAAGACAAACCCAAGAACCTCCATTTCCTTTGAAATTGGAAACCCTAGAAACCTAACGCTAATTAAAAAGCCGCATACACAAATGTTATTGTACAAAGAAAGAGAAACTTCATAAAGATTCAATGGTTTTCTCAGCAAACCCAAAACCCTAGAATAAACGGAAACAAATGGAAATCAAATCACACAAACGGAGGGTTCTGATCTACAGAATAAGAAGGCAGAAACAGATATCGAGGAAGAGAAGAGACGGCGGCGTGTACCTCCTGAGCTTCGGCGAGCCATGGCAGCGAGAAAAACCTAGGGATTTAAGTCTGCGAATATCAGGAGAGAGACAATTTGAGGAAGAACGAGTCTGCAAAAAGCTATCTGGCCCCCGGTGGCCCTCACAGGCTTCTTTTATATGCAAAAGAGTGCAAATCTGCTACGCCAATGAAATCGCGTACTCGGATACGTGGCACAAACCTATTTGATTATCTCATGGTCTTCATTGGTACTTTGACTTTTGGATGAGGATCGCCGCTAAACTTGTTTTGAATGACGACCGGATCCGGGCCGTGGTTGTTAAGGTCACAGTTAAAAGTTGGAATTATCTAGAAACAAGTAAAAATAAGGAGGGACGTATTGGTAAATTTAAAATTGAGTAAATCTCAGTCTACTATCCTCATGTTTCATAGTTTTCAATATTTAGTACATCATGTTTTTTCATCCCAGAGTCATACTTAAAATGTTAATTTTAGAACAGTCTCATACATCTATTAGTCAAACTGTTAAATCTGTCATTAACTGATAATGTGGTGCCCATGTTGACAATGACTAAGCGCCACGTGTCATTAAGGGTCCACGTGAATTTTTTTTTTTTTTTGAGAAGGGTTCAAAAAAAAAATTAGTGGTTCCTAAAACTGCAGGAACCATGGCTTTATCTTCATCATCCTAAACCTATCTCAATCTTCATCTCCAAAATCCAGAAAAATCAACAACCCTACAAAAATTGAGCTAAAACTTTCAAAACCCAAATAAAAGCTCAGCCCCAAATACCCCCTAAACCATGAAAAAAAAATCAAACAACAAAAAAAATTTGGAAAATCCAACAAAACCCAAATCCAAGTTTCCGTCGATCTACACGCAGAGCCATGAAGATCCGAACTTTGAAGCTCCAAGAGGCCCACGAGCAGTGGCGGGGGGGGGGCCGTCGTACCGATCAGTGCTGTGGGACCAGAAAGCTTACCACGTTGTGACGGCCTTCTCCTCGAGCCCACAATCGCCATCCACAACTCTCTTATCCTGTCCAACCCTCAAAAGCTCCTTTGCCCCCATCGCAATAGCATCATGGCTATTGCTCTCAACCCCAACTCCACCTGCCTCGCCTTCGACTTTGTCGACCACTCCGTCAAGCTCTATAAGTTTCCCGGTCAATATCTCCTAACCAAGTAAACAAACAACACCCATATCTGAATTTCCATCCAAAATCAAATACAACAAATTAGGGTTTTGTAATCTGAGAAATTGGGATGTGAGATTTGGGTATAACAAGGAGAAAAATAACAAATTCATAATAAAGTTTGAAGTTTTTAAAAATACAAATATGCACAAGAATGTAAATGGCAGGTTAATAGTACAAGGATCCATATATTCAAATTTTAGATAGAGAAAGAGAGACAGTGAGAGAGAGAGAGAGAGGAGAAAGGAGAGACAAAACTTACTCAGGTGGGTGTAAACGGCTCTTTAGGGTTTTCCCCTTCTGGCGAGAGAAAGAGAGAAAAAAACTTATGTGATAAAGAGAGAAAAGAGGAAAGAGAAGAGGAGAGAGGGGAGCGAACGGTGGAGATGGAAGCTGGCGCAGGCGAGGGAGGCAAGGGGCTTATTCGTCGCACCAGTGGGGAAGACAAAGGGGGAAGTAAAAAAGGGGGAAGGAATCTGGCCCTTTTTCTAGTGGGGAAGATGAAGGGGGAAGGAAAAAGAGGGTTTTGTTTTTTTTATTTTACCATCGCGCCCAGTCATTGTCCATACAGGAGCCACGTCATCAGTTAACGGTAGACTTAACAGTTTAACTAACGGATGTATGAGACTGTCCCAAAATTAACACTTTAAGTATGACTTTGGGAAGAAAAAAAAATTGATGTACTAAATGTTGAAAACCACGAAACTTAAGGGTAGTAAACTGAGATTTACCCTTTAAAATTACAGCATGGTTTCTTTTCTCGTGGTGTATCTGCTGTAGAAGGATTTTATTTTTTTTTTTTTGTCTCTAAAGCAATACAAGTCGAAAAGAATTATATATCTAAAAAAAAAAAAAATTACATATCTCAAATCCGATTAGAATCAGATGATTGTTGAAGTCTTCAAACGGCATAGGCAATTACACAAATGGTGATGAGTGTGCACATCAGGATATGACCAACCTAAGATAAGTGACTCGTTAAAACTTTGTTAGGATAGTAAAACTTAGTGGGACAAATGCTCATGAACTAAGGAAAATAGTACATTAAGGTCACTTGGTATCTACCAAATACTCCTTCTAAGTTCAACAAAACTCCTTAATTAGACTTCGAGCAGTATAATTTGGACAGTTTACGCATTCTATTTTCTTGGACAAATTATGAAAAGTGGACTTTAGTAATGACTTGGTGAAGAGATTGACGGGATTGTCTTCTTTTGCTTCGATCTTTTTGATGCTGTTGCTATTGATGAGAGAATAATAACTTCGGTGCAATGTGATTGGTATGGTCTCTCTTGATGTATGCTTTTCAAAACAGCTATGCATGCAAATTGTCCTCAAATATTGTTGTTGGGGCGTCAATGATAGACGATAAACCACATGTGCTTTGAATATGCTTGACTAGCGGTAAAATGATTTTTATTTTATTTTATAATATTTAATCCAATTACGTTTTTATACCACACATTAGCACAAAATGGGTTTGTCACATCACAAATATACCACAAACTGATCGAATTGATTGTGCATCAGGGATCTCCTCAAGATTGATCTTTTGTGAGGATGTTTTTGGTACAAATGATGGTGTCACATTAGATCGGTGGCCAATAATGTGGCTTCGGCGGGTTTCGTCATCAGGGAAGAGGATGGGAAGCCTAAGATTGCCGGAGCTTTTAATTTAGGAGATAATACGATTATGGTAGTGGAGGATATGGCTCCGAGGGAGGCCATCTCACATTATTGTCCAAGGAGATTCCAAGCTGATTGTCGAGGCGGTTCAGGCGCGCTGTGAAAACGCCTTGGAGGGTGAAAAGCATTCTTGAGGATGCCGTTGGGATGCTTGATTACTTCCGGGAGGTCCAAGGGTCCCATACTTTTCAAAGAGACAAAATTTGTTGCTGATGTTCTTACATCTATTGTTAGGAATGTTCAAAATTTGCATGTTTTGATATTAGGAAAAGGGATGTGATATTCATACACCCCATTTTACTTCTCACACACTTTTTTAATTTTCAGCCGTCGGATCGGATGAATTAAAAAAGATCAACGGACAGAAATTATCAAGGATGTGTGAGAAGTAAAATGGGATGTGTTGATAGCACATCCCTTAAGGAAATTGGTTGTGTAATAGGTTTCTTGCTTTAATATATTATTTAAAAAAAATAAAAAAAATAAACATATACATTTTAAAACTTATACATGCCTCTCACTTAAAGTTCGTTGAAAATAAATTTTAACCACATTATTATTTAATATAAATAATATCGTTTAAAAAAAAAAAAAACTTGATACAAAATTTGATTTTTGAAACTGTACCTTTGGTGTGTAGAACGTCGTCGATCCAAAAGTAAATTAATCCTCCTCCTCTCGTACCCCTTTCTCGTAAAGAACGGACTTAAACGGCTAAAACTCAAAAGGCTCCAGTCACACGATAATCAAATCAAACTCTCTCTCTCTCTAGTCTCTCTCTCTCTCTCTCTCCAAGAAATTTCCAAAACCCTAGGGCATCACCTTCCAGTTCCTTCCTGCAAGATCCAATCCAACCATGGCCGACGAGCCCTCAGTGGCACCCCCCCAATCCGGTTCTTCTCCTTCACCCTCAGCTTCCCCTCTCGGCAACTCTGTGATCCCCATAGTGAACAAGCTCCAAGACATCTTCGCGCAGCTCGGTTCCCAATCCACCATCGAGCTCCCTCAGGTGGCCGTCGTTGGCAGCCAAAGTAGTGGCAAGTCCAGCGTTCTCGAGGCCCTCGTTGGCCGTGACTTCTTGCCGCGTGGTTCTGAAATTTGCACGCGCCGCCCCCTCGTGCTCCAGCTCTTGCAGACTAAGCGCAACGCTGACGGCACCGATGAGGAATATGGGGAGTTCCTGCACGTCCCTGGGAAGCGCTTCTACGATTTCTCTGAGATTCGGAGGGAAATTCAGGTGCTTTCTATTGGATCACTTGTCTGGGTATTTTAATTTTGTTGTTTGACTCCTCGGGCATGTTATGCAAATATGATCTGAATTTGAATATTGTAAGAAGTGACTTCATTGGGTTGCAAAGTAAGTGCAATTTTCTTTTCTGAACATAATCGGTTTAGCCCGTCTTCCGGGTCAGTAGTTTAAGCGATTACTATTCAGCAGTTCAGTGTTAAAATGCCACCATAGAAATGGAATTTTTGTACTTAAATGTAGCCCCTTTAAATAAAATATTTACCAGAAAGTTTGCTTCCTGTCTGACTCTAACCCTTACTTTCATTCTGCCAACAATTTTTTGTTCCAATGCTTCCTACTTTTGAAATTAAGGTGGTGAGAAACTAAAATTGTTATGGTAAGATTCTGCTTCACTTTTGAACTTTCTCACATTTGCTTCTACTCACCCTAGTGTGGAGATCATAATTGACTTATACTTTCATTTATATTATTTAGTTTTCGTTATGTATTCTTATAGAAATTGATGTATTAAGTTATGTACACACACATATGCGGTCTTCCACTTCTAAATAAATTTCTATTGATGTAGGCTGTGACAGAGAGAGAAGCAGGGGTGAATAAAGGTGTCACAGACAAGCAGATACGCTTGAAGATATTTTCACCAAATGTTCTTGATATCACTCTAGTAGATCTACCTGGTATAACGAAGGTTCCTGTTGGTGATCAACCCTCTGATATCGAAGCAAGAATTCGGACAATGATCATGTCATATATCAAAATTCCAAGTTGTTTAATTCTTGCTGTTACAGCAGCAAATTCTGATCTAGCAAACTCAGATGCTCTTCAGATTGCGGGAAATGCAGATCCTGATGGTAATTTCTGCTCTTCTGCATTTAGCATTCCTGGTTAAATTGTATCTGACTAGCAGTAGTATGTGCAATTTCCTATTGACAGGTCTACGAACCATAGGAGTAATCACAAAGGTGAGATTTATTTTTTAAACTAGATTTCTTTTACAGGGTTAATACATTGACACATTTGCAAGATGTTTATTTTGTGCT